ATTGTCAGGGGTCTCAACTCTCTTACTCTGTCTACTCAAATTGAAAAATCAATTCTCTAAAATTCATTTTTGTGTTGAAACAACACAAACAACACAGAAATAAGCTTTCATCTTATATACCCGCATTTTAGTGTGGTGATATGTTACAACAGTTTTGGATGAGGTGAACAAAACTTTCAACACAAGACAGAACACGGTGCAATGGGTATAAATTGGGTAAATTAAAGGGAAGAATGGAAGTAAATGATACCCTCATCCAAAACTGTTCTAACATATCACCTCACCCAAATGCGGGTATATAAGATAAAAGCTGTTTAAATGATTGCCTTACGGGCTATTGCCTTACGGGCTTATATATATATATATATATATATATATATATATATATATATATATATATATATATATATATATATATATATATATATATATATATATATATATATATATCGTCATGTGGTTCAAAGGATGCCTCACGCCTCCCACCGTGCCCGCGTCATTTAGTAACATAATTACTTTCACTTCAGAGGAGCCCAGAAAACAGCAGAAGCACGCCCCTGCCTCACACTTGACAATCACTGTGTCCCCCGGGCAGTAATAACTGACTGCAGCCCCCGCCTGGTCCTCCGCCTGCAACACTTCAAACGACGTCAAACTCGCCTCATTGTATCTCCACTACCCTCCATTACCAAACCACTGGAGGCCGACCGCCTCAGACCTGGCGTAGATGGTGCGAGTAAGACGTCATTCTGGTGAGCATAATCACCCTGCCACAACGGGACACATGCCACCCGCAGGGCAGCTAACAGGCACAGAGTGCACAGCCCAAGTTTGCCGGCAGTTACGCCAGAACAGGCAGTCCGCTCACACCGGCAGCTGCAGCAGGCAGCAGGTCTGAACTCCTGCCCGAAACTCCATTAGTGTTAGTGACTCTGCAAGAATGAAAGAACAACAATATCATATACTCTCACAAATCCAATGTACTTCTTGTAAATATATAAATAAATAAATAAATAAATAAATAAATAAACAAGTTTGGTGTTGGGTCTCATGCCAATCACTCTCTGGAGGTTATCTTGAGATGATTTCGGGGCTTTAGTGTCCCCGCGGCCCGGTCCTCGACCAGGCCTCCACCCCCAGGAAGCAGCCCGTGACAGCTGACTAACTCCCAGGTACCTATTTACTGCTAGGTAACAGAGGCAGTCAGGATGAAAGAAACTTTGCCCATTTGTTTCTGCCTCGTGCGGGAATCGAACCCGCGCCACAGAATTACGAGTCCTGCGCGCTATCCACCAGGCTACGAGGGAGGGATATTAAGGCCACCGCAATATATTCCTCAAAAACCTGGACGTATTTTATAGTTGTGAATATAGTGCACGAGGGTCCTATACATAGTTCATGGGGTCATGATCACAGTTCATTCGGTCCTGAGCATTGGTCATGGGCTCCTAAACACAGTTCAAAGAATTCTGAACATAGTTCATGGGGTTCTGAACATAGCTCGGGAGGATCGTGAACATTATTCATGAGGCCCAAAACATAGTTCAGGGGTCTTCAACACGGTTCTTGGGGTCCTGATCATAGTTCATGGGGTCCAGAATATGGTTCCTGGGGTCATGAAAATTTTTCAGGAATACAGCAAACTCTCATTGTATACCCAGAAATCCAGGGGTGTATCACTCCATGTGTATCACTCGTCTCCTGATTGTCGGTGTGATCAACCAAACTGTGGGCCAAATCAGATCTATTGTGTCCCTCGCCTGACACTCAGGTACACTATTTCACCCTTTCACAAGGCCGATCAGACACGGCGGTCCTCGCCTGCCACTCAAACAATCGATTTCGCAAGGCCGATCTGTCTGGTTCCGGCTCTCGCCAGCCGCTCAGCTATTGTTTCACCGTCTCACATAATCATTTAAATGAGACTAAATTCCTTTTTTAATTTGTAAGCGATTCAACTTTCCACCTCATATTGCAGACTTATATAGAAATACATAATCAGGTGGTTATATAGATTTCAGTGAACCGCTAGGTAATGCAAATAATAAATATATAGTGCCTTGGTGGGTGAATTATCAGTAGAAGAGTAGGAATGATCGATCTTTTCCTAGTTTATATTGAAATAGATGAGTCTCTAAATTCTCGTGGGTCTAAATTCTGCAAAATGATATCTCATTACACTGGAGGTTATATCGGACGATAGAATTATCCTGATGATGATAACGAGAAGGTGTTCTGAATCAGCTTCTTTCTTTTATGTTAAATTAAACATGATGAAGAATGCCATAACAATTACTCGTTCAATGTAATTGCACGAAAAATTCTTCTCAATGAACATGCACTGATTTCAGTATTTATATTGCACATGTTCTTAAAAAAAGGCCGATTTTCAATATTTGGCAAAAGTCAAGTCTGCAGTGGTTGTGTCCTGACCAGAAGGGTATTAGTCTAGGTAACTTACCCAGTGGTTGTGTCCTGACCAGAAGCGTACTAGCTTAGGTAACTTACCCAGTGGTTTTGTCTTGACCAGAAGCGTACTAGCTTAGGTAACTTACCCAGTGGTTGCGTCCTGACCAGAAGGGTATTAGTCTAGGTAACTTACCCAGTGGTTTTGTCTTGGCATACACAGTAATCAAGGATAATACTTTCCAACGCAGAAATGAAGAAAAAGCACGTATTGAGAACTATACCTCTTCAACACAAGCAGAGCTAACTGCCATTGTTATGGCGTTAAGGTTTCTTGAACGGAACACTAATGGTGCAGTGATTTGCACCGATTCAAAAGCAGCACTGCAAAGCCTAAGTAAAAATCGGGCAGAAAATCTTGCAACAGTCGCTGAAATTAAGAGAGCTGTGAGAGTACTTACCAATCAAGGAAGAGTCATCAAGTTTCTGTGGATTCCCTCCCATGTTGGAATATGTGAGAATGAACGAGCAGATGTGCTGGCTGCTGGAGGCGCTGAAGGAGACCATATTGAATACTTCATACCCAAGACTCTACTACAATTTAGAGGTATTGGCAGGCAACATCACCGTGACAGGGTAACTGAGGAAAGGAGGATAGAAGCACAAACCAGTGAGTCTATACGATGGTACAACATGGTTGCAGCTGGCAATCCCAATCGCTATGGCCGAAGAGGAGGATGACGAGGGAGAGAATCAGTAATAGCGAGAATCCGTCTTGGATACAAATATCCTTGGAGATATGGAATGGAAACAACAGTTGATCAGCGAAGTTGCAGAATCTGTGGTGAGAGTGATGGACACCGCTTTGACCACTATCTACGTGAATGTGAACACCTGAGAGACATTAGAAATATGTGTAGAATAATAAACCCCACATTGTTTGAGTTAGGAAAACACTATTTGTCAAATATTGATACTGTTCTTAAAAGATTTCCCCATTTTGCACCCGCAATTTAACGTAAGCTTTTAAGGGTTGACAGATGTTAATCTTCTTGTTTGAGGAGCTGTTCACTTGAGACAGTTAAGCAAGTCCCAGCTGTGTCTGGGTACAAGTGACAGGATGAACAACCCAGCGGGATTTCTTCCTATTGGGGAGTGTTGTACATGCTGCTATGGCGGTGTGTCCATTCACAAGATGAGTGGCGCTGCCCAATAAACTCGCGCCTCGGGGCAAAATTAAAAAAAAAATAAAAAAAAATTCAGAAGCGTACTAGCTTAGGTAACTTACCCAGTGGTTGTGTCCTGACCTGAATCGTACTAGCTTAGGTAACTTACCTATTGAGGTCATGACGTTCCTTCGTCCGAGATAACATCAATTTTCAGGTGCGATTAAGTTGCATAAAGAACTAGAATTTTGTATACAGTCGGACTATCTGTCAGGTATTGTTCTGCTCAACGTATTAAATAACTATTTTAATTATAGTTATCCTGATTAACCTTTAATTTAGTTTAAGAACCGATAGTAAATTTATATAGTTTGGTGAGGAGGTAGACGGCGACCTCCGTACATTTAGTCGTGTTTGTCGTCTTGGAGAGATCTGTACTTCGTTATTATTGATCAATATTGATAATGCAGGTGTTGAATAATGGCAGTACAATCTCCCTGTGATCGGTTTCGTCTCTGTTAGAGATCTGATCACTAATCCTCAACTGTTACACCCAACCACTTGGGCTGGACGGTAGAGCGACGGTCTCGCTTCATGCAGGCGGCGTTCAATCCCCGACCGTCCAAGTGGTTGGGGAACATTCCTTCCCCGTCCCATCAAAAATCCTTATCCTGACCCATTCCCAGTGCTATATGGTCGTAATGGCTTGGCGCTTTCCCCGGATAATTGCCCCCCCCCTCAACTATTACCTCCCTCTTCACCGGCAGGAATTTGGCACATAGTTGTAAATATGTTAGCGGGTTATTCTCAAGAAAAATTTAGTTGGGCAATGATTAATAAAAGCTATATGAAGGAGAAACGCTCAACCTGCTGTAAGGAACCTGACGTCCTCTTATCCTGAATACACCTATTTGTGAATGTGAATAATAATAATAATGAGAAAATCCACCAGGGTTGTGAGGTGGGCGCGAACCTTCAACCCCCACATTACCAGTCTCGTACTCTACCCCTGGACCTTGACCACTGAACTTGACCGTGGTAGATTACGCGATGGGCAATGGCGGGGTCGAAGGTTCGCTCCCACCTCACAGCCCTGAAGGATTTTCTCACTATTATTAATGATATATATTACGCTAATGTGATTTCAGTGTATTAATAATAATAATAATAATATTAATATTATTATTATTATTATTATTATTATTATTATTATTATTATTATTATTATTATTAATACCATTAAATAATGTTTGTTATGAGATATTTCATAACAAACATTACTATGTAAACTTGTCAACTATAATTTAGAGGTTTCCTGTATATTATATTGGTCTAAGAAGTTTAAGACAGTCATTTCGAATATAATAGGAAAAGACATTATTGGTGCTCAGCGAGGCATTCACTAAAATGTGTTCTCTATTTATTTTCAGCGCTCGAGAGAAGAATGGAAACATTCAGTGAGAGTGACGAACGGATGTTATAGAGATTAACCGGGCCATTAAACCGGTGAAATAAGAAGCAGGTGTTGGGGACCTGTGGTACAGTGGCTGTGATATATATAAACCGGTGTAACGAAAAGACAGATGCTGTGGACTCGTTGTAATGAAATCGCAACTGTGTTACAAAAAATATGAAAAATAATTTAAGTTAGTAATTTAATGTCCGTTTAGAGCCAAATTATAGGAATGCTGGATCGTCTTAATCACGGCCATTTACTAAACTACTTTAAAATTCTACGAGGAAAAAGAATATGTAGACGAAAGTATATATTGTAGATTAGGAGCCTTAATTGCATACTTTTAAAACGTCCATCGTAAAAATAAAGCGAGGTGCACATGGAAACTGATCAGTATAAGAGATAGCTACGAAGTACCAGGTTCAGAGAGCCCCTTGCAGGAGCAGCACATGGTAGAGACTTGTGCGGACGTCGTCGCTCTAGACAGAAGGTGACATCAATACGGCGCGGGCGTCGCTCAAGACGGGTGGAGACATCAATACAGTGCGGAGGGAGAGACATAGAGTGGAACACGCACCGTCAGTCAGCCTCCAAAACAATGTTGTCACCACATGGGGGAATATTGGCCGTCGCTTGCTGCCTCCTGCTGCCTCACACCCTCACCCACGCGGCCAGGAAAGGTTAGTGTGCAATAATTTGCATATTACAACAATCTGAAGTATATATGTATATTTTTATATATTTTTTTCAATTAAACCACACACATGACTCAATCACCATTGGGCTCAGTTGTCTTTGACGTCGGCTTCACAGCCCAGGATCGCGGGTTCGATTACCGTGGAAACATAGAAGTCTTTGGGCAACGTTTCCTTTCACCTGATATGGCTATTCCCTACACAATAAATTGGTCCCCGAAGACTTAGACAGTTGTTGTGGGTTGCAACTTGGCGCTGGTCAACGTTGCACAGGACACATGCAATGACATCCATACATACACACACACGCAACTACACAAATACACACACACACACACACACACACACACACACACACACACACACACACACACACACACGCATGCTTGGCCCAAGGGTGGGGGTGGGGGGGGGGACTCGCGGCTGAGTGGACAGCGCTTGGGGGTCGCAATTTTAAATCCAGGCTTAAGCAGAAACATATAAGCCAAAATTTCTTTCACCCTGATGCTTCTGTTCACCTAGCAGTAAATAGATACCTGGGTGTTAGACAGCAGCTACGGGCTCCGTCCTGGAGATGTGTGTGTGTGTGTGTATGCGCGTGTGTTTGAAGACATAACAGAGGGAAAATAGATTGGATAGAATGGTGGGGTCCAAGGGGTTAATAGCTCGATTTTGTTGGCACAAATCATAAATACAAATATTAAACACACACACACACACACACACACACACACACACACACACACACACACACACACACACACACACACACACACACACACACACACACACACACACACAGGTCGCATCCTCCCCAACTCAGCCCTCCTATACCTCCCCCCTGCCTCAGCCCCCCAAAACCCCCCTGCTTCATCACCCTAAAACCCCCCTGTCCCTTCCACATTTGCACCTCCCCAACGATTCCCCTGCCCCTGCTACATCACACCTGTCAACGACCCCAGTGGGTCAAGCCATGCCCTCCCAAAACCCACCTTCCCATCCCCCCTCCCCTACTACCCCTTCCTACTCCCCTGCCCCTTCAACCCCATTGACTTCAATTCCATCTACTCCATCCCAGCTTCCACTGCACCCCTCTTCCACTCACCCCCAAACCCCACCCAACCCGCACCCCTCCTATGCACCTCCAGCCCACATTTAACCCCCTCACCTTGTGACCCCCTAACACCTTCCCCCATCTCCCTCTTCCCCTCTTCTACCCCAAAACCCCCACCTACCCCCGAATCCCCCCTAACTAATACACCCTCTCTTCCACTCCCAGCACCCATGCTCCATTCTCCTCTCAGCCCTCTGCCCTCAACATCCCTCTCCCCCCAACCTCTCAACCTCTATCTGACTCTCAGTCTCACTCTATTTCTCAACCCCCCTATGCTATTCAGACCCCTAACTTTCAGACCCATTATGCCCTTCCTACCCCCCCCCCCTAGTTGCCCAGACCCCATTCGCCTACCAGGCACTCCCAGGCACCCCTCTAGCACCCCCCCATTCACCCCCACAGCCCCCACTCGCCCCCAGACACCCCCCAGTTCCCCCCAGACCCCCGGTGAAAGGGGGAACTCTGACACCCGAGTTTCCAAGAAGAGTCTCAAGGTTTAGTACACCAATGCTGATGGGGTAGCCAATAAAGCAGAAAGAGATAAAAGAAAGAGTTAGTGAGGCAGACCCAGACATAGTGGCAATAGTGGAAACTAAAATAAATGGCATGATCTCGGATGCAATCTTTCCAGATGGGTACTAGGTGATAAGAAAAGAAAGGACACAGAGACAGGGAGGAGGAGTGGCACTCCTAATAAAGCGGAAATGGAAGTTTGATGAGCTGGAAAATCCGAGTACCAATGAAAGCACGAGCTTCATACATGGAACTCTGACAGTGGATGGGAAGAAGATTGTAATCTTGATACTCTACAATCCCCCACCAAATAGTAGAAGGCCCAGGCAGGAGTATGAGGACAGCAACAAGGCATGTATAGATGAACTGCAGAGGGCAGCAACTATAGCGCATAGAATGAGAGCGAAGCTGCTGGTCATGGGGGACCTAAATCACGGAGAGATAGATTGGGAAACGAGGAATCCCCATGGCGGGGAGGAAACCTGGGGAGCGAAGCCGGTAGACGTTATTGACAGGAATTTCCTAACACAGCATGTGAAAGAAGATACTAGGGAAAGAGGAGGGGATACGCCCAGCCTATTAGATCTCATTTTCACCCAGAATGTAGAAGACATCGAGCAGTTGGAACATGAAATACCACTAGGAGCCAGTGACCATTGTGTCCTAGTCTTTGACTACATGATGGAGCTTAAAATTGTGACCAAAGGACAAGAGGTCCGGGAAAGGAGACTTGATTACAGAAAAGGGGACTACAGAAGAATAAGGGACTACCTGGGAGAAGTGCAGTGGGAGGAAGCACTTAGAGGAAAAACAGTGCAAGGTATGATGAACCAAGTCATATTGAAATGCAAGGAGGCTGAAGAGAGATTTATTCCAACAATAAAAGAAAAAAGCAGGAGGGAATATAATAACCCATGGTTTAATAGACAGTGTCAGGAAGCAAAAGTGAGAAGCAGGAGGGAGTGGAGGAGTACAGAAGACAAAGGACAGAGGACAACAGGATTAGATGTAACAGAGCTAGGAATGATTACATTAACATAAGACGAGTGTCGGAAAGAAATTATGAGAATGATATTGCAGTCAAATCGAAAAAGCAACCTAAATTACTACATAGCCATATAAGAAGGAAGATGTCGGTAAATGACAAAGTGACAAGACTGAGGAAAACAGAAGGGGCATATACAGAAAGCGACAAGGAAATCTGCGAGGTACTGAATGCAAAATTCCATGGAGTGTTCACAACCGAGCCTGAGCAACTCCCATTGTTAGAAGCGATTACCCTAGATAAAAGACTATCAGATATAGAGGTGACAGCAGAGGAGGTAATGAAACAGTTGATAACACTGGATGCAAATAAAGCAGTTGGACCAGACAAAGTATCACCGTGGATACTTAAAGAGGCAGCGCAGGCTCTCAGCGTGCCTCTGGCAATGATCTTTAATGAGTCACTTATGTCGGGAGAATTGCCCAGTTGCTGGAAGGAGGCAAATGTCGTACCGATTTTCAAGAAAGGTGATAGGGAGGAGGCACTTAACTACAGACCCGTATCACTGACAAGCATCCCCTGCAAAATACTTGAAAGAATAATTAGGCTAAGACTTGTTGAGCCCCTGGAGAGCATTGGGTTTGTAAACAAGCACCAACATGCTTCTGAACAGGGAAATCATGCCTAACAAACCTTTTAGAATTCTATGATAAAGTAACAAGGATAAGGCAGGACAGAGAAGGCTGGGCAGACTGCATATTTCTTGACTGCCAAAAGGCCTTTGATACAGTACCGCACATGAGACTGCTATACAAACTTGAGAGGCAGGCAGGAGTAAGCGGAAAGGCCCTAGTATGGGTGAAGAACTACCTAACAGGAAGAAGCCAGAGGGTAATGGTAAGGGGCGAGAAGTCGGACTGGCGAACAGTAGCAAGTGGAGTACCTCAAGGATCGGTGCTGGGACCAATTCTCTTTATAATTTACGTAAATGATATGTTTACAGGAGTGGAATCATACATGTCAATGTTTGCGGATGACGCAAAATTAATGAGAAGAGTTGTGACAGACGAGGATTGTAGGATCCTCCAAGAGGACTTAAACAGGTTGCAGAGATGGTCAGGGAAATGGCTACTGGAGTTTAACACCAGTAAATGTAAAGTTATGGAAATGGGATCAGGTGACAGGAGACCAAAGGGACAGTACACAATGAAGGGGAACAGCCTACCTGTAACGATTCGAGAAAGAGACCTGGGAGTGGATGTGACACCTAATCTAACTCCCGAGGCACATATAAATAGGATAACGACAGCAGCGTAACCTGGAGGCGAGGATACGTGGAGAGCCAAACTATTGGAGGCGGTGACTAGAAACTTTTTAACCCAGCATGTCAGAGAATCCACAAGGATGAGAGGCAAAGAAGAACCAGCGAGACTCGACCTAGTCTTCACTCTGAACGACTCCGACATAAAAGAAATCGGTTTTGAGGCCCCAGTAGGAATGAGCGACCACAGTGTACTGGTGTTTGAGTACCTGATTGAAGAAGGGTTATTGAACTCAAGGAGGCATACTGGAAACAAAAGGTTGGCATACCGAAAGGTAAACTATAAGGAGATAAGAAAATTCCTAACAGATAGAGCATGGGAAACAGAGCTCAGGGAAAAGACGCCACAAGACATGATGGACTACATCAGGCAGAAGTGCAAGAAAGCAGCAAACAAGTTTGTCCCAGTCCAAAAGGAAAACAGTCAAATGAAGATGAGAAACCCATGGTTTAATCAGAGATGTAGGCTAGCTAAGCAGCAAAGTAAAAGGGCATGGAGAAACTATAGGAATAACAGGACACTTGAGAGCAGAGAAAGGTACCAGAGTGCCAGGAATGAATATGTCAGGATGAGAAGAGAGGCAGAAAGACAATACGAAAATGACATCGCAAGCAAGGCAAAGACTCAGCCTAAATTGCTGCATAGCAACATCAGGAGAAAAATAACAGTAAAGGACAGGTTATGAAATTAAGGATAGGGGCAGAAGGATTCACTACAAACGACAAGGAAAAGAGTGAGGAACTGAATAAGCAATTCCAGGAGGTCTTCACCTTAGAGCAAGGAGAAATTCCAGAGATAAGAGAGGGAATAGTTAACCAGGAACCACTGGAAGAGTTTGAGATTACCAGCGAGGAAGTAAGAAAGTGTTTACTAGAGTTGGATGAGACAAAGGCTATAGGCCCAGATGGAATCTCCCCTTGGATACTAAAGGAAGGAGCAGAAGAACTGCGCCTGCCACTCTCCATAATGTATAACAAATCCCTGACAACAGGGGAACTGCCAGAAATTTGGAAAGCAGCTAATGAAGTCCCGATATACAAGAAAGAGGAGAGATTTGGAGGCACTGAACTACAGGCCAGTGTCCCTAACCTGCATACCATGCAAGCTGATGGAGAAGATTGTGCGAAGAAAGCTAGTGTAACCTCTGGAGCGAAAGAACTTTGTAATACAGCATCAACATGGGTTCAGGGATGGCAGGTCCTGCCTCACAAGGTTACTTGAATTCTATGACCAGGCAACAAAAATCAGGCAAGAAAGAGAAGGGTGGGCAAACTGCATATTTTTGGATTGCCAGAAAGCCTTTGATACAGTACCACACAAGACGCTAGTGAAAAAGCTGGAGATGCAGGCTGGAGTGAAAGGGAAGGTAATCCATTGAATAAAGGAGTACCTATGCAACAGGAGACAACGAGTCAGTGTGAGGGGAGAGGTCTCAGATTGGCGAGACGTTTCAAGTGGAGTCCCGCAGGGGTCAGTCCTGGACCTTTACTGTTTCTGATATATGTAAATGATCACCTAGAGGGTATATCCTAGTTTCGTATCGTTTCTCTCAATGTTTGCTGATGATGCAAAAATTACTAGAAGGATTGAAACCGAGGATGATAGTATGAGGCTACAAGATGACCTAGACAGACTGAGTGAATGGTCCAATAATTGGCTGTTGAAGTTCAACCCAAGCAAATGCAAAGTAATGAAACTAGGCAGTGGAAACAGGAGGCCAGACACAGCATACAGAATAGGAGATGAAGTACTTAATGAAACGGAAACAGAGAAAGATCTAGGAGTTGATATCACACCAAACCTGTCTCCTGAAGCCCACATAAAAAGAATAACGTCTGCGGCATATGCGAGGCTGGCTAACATCAAAACAGCGTTCAGAAACCTGTGTAAGGAATCATTCAGAATCTTGTACACCACATATGTAAGACCAATCCTGGAGTATGCGGCCACAGCATAGAGCCGTACCATGTCAAGCACAAGACGAGGCTGAAAAAAGTTCAACGGTATGCCACTACACTAGTCCCAGAACTAAGAGGCATGAGTTAGAAGGAACGGCTGCGGGAAATGCACCTCACGACACTGGAAGACAGAAGCATAAGAGGAGACATGATCACAACCTACAAAATCCTTAGGGAAAACGACCAGGTAAACAAGGATAAACTATTCAACACTGGTGGTACGCGAACAAGATGGCACAGATGGAATCTGAGTACCCACATGAGCCACAGGGACGTTAGAAGGAACATTTTCAGTGTCAGAGTAGTTAACGGATGGAATGCATTAGGCAGTGATGTGGTGGAGGCTGACTCCTTACACAGTTTTAAATGTAGATATGATCAGGCTCAGGAATCTGTACACCAGTTGATTGACAGTTGAGAGGCGGGACCAAAGAGCCAAAGCTGAGCCCCCGCAAGCACAAATAGGTGAGTACAAATAGGTGAGTACACACCCACACCCACCCACACACACACACACACACACACACACACACACACACACACACACACACACACACACACACAAACACACACATGACGCAAAATGATGCAGATGACGCAAAATTAATGAGAAGAGTTGTGACAGACGAGGATTGTAGGATCCTCCAAGAGGACTTAAACAGGCTGCAGAGATGGTCAGGGAAATGGCTACTGGAGTTTAACACCAGTAAATGTAAAGTTATGGAAATGGGATCAGGTGACAGGAGACCAAAGGGACAGTACACAATGAAGGGGAACAGCCTACCTGTAACGATTCGAGAAAGAGACCTGGGAGTGGATGTGACACCTAATCTAACTCCTGAGGCACATATAAATAGGATAACGACAGCAGCGTACTCTACACTGGCGAAAATTAGAACTTCATTCAGAAACCTAAATGAGGAAGCTTTTAGGGCGTTTTACACTGCCTACGTGAGACCCGTCTTAGAGTATGCCGCGCCATCATGGAGCCCCCACCTGAAGAAACACATAAAGAAACTGGAGAAGGTTCAGAAGTTTGCGACGAGGCTTGTCCCAGAGCTACGAGGGATGGGATATGAAGAGCGGCTGAAGGAACTGAACCTTACGACACTAGAGAAAAGAAGGGAGAGAGGAGATATGATAGGGACATATAAAATACTCAGGGGAATTGACAAAGTGGAAATAGATGAAATGTTCACACGTAATAATAACAGAACGAGGGGACATGGGTGGAAACTGGAAACTCAGATGAGTCACAGAGATGTTAGGAAGTTTTCTTTTAGTGTGAGAGTAGTACAAAAATGGAATGCACTTGGGGAACAGGTTGTGGAAGCAAATACTATTCATACTTTTAAAACTAGGTATGATAGGGAAATGGGACAGGAGTCATTGCTGTAAACAACCGATAGCTAGAAAGGCGGGATCCAAGAGTCAATGCTCGATCCTGCAAGCACATATAGGTGAGTACACACACACACACACACACACACACACACACACACACACACACACACACACACACACATATATATATATATATATATATATATATATATATATATATATATATATATATATATATATATATATATATATATATATATATTATATATATAAACATATATGTATGTGCAATTTAATATTTTTTTTGTATCATGAAGAGTGTATGAGGAAAGATACAGACACTGAAGCTTTTTTTAATATAATGACGCAGGAATGAATATAATAACACAAGTATGAGTATAATGATCCAGGAATGAATATAATGACACAAGTATGAGTATAATTACACACGCATGTAGTATAATGACGCACGTGTGAGTATAATAAATTATGTTTGATTACAATGAAGTATATTCGATTAAATTACAGCACATGTGAATAAAATGAAGCACCTGTGTGTACAATGAAGCACAGCTGAGTACAATGAGGCACTCTGAGTTCAATGAAGCACATGTGAGTACAATGAAGTGCGTGAGTATAATGAAGCGCGTGTGAGTATAATGAAGCACGTGTGAGTATAATGAAGCACGTGTGAGTACACTGAAGCACGTGTGAGTACAATGAAACAAGTGTGAGTATAATGAAGCACGTGTGAGTACACTGAAGCACGTGTGAGTACACTGAAGCACGTGTGAGTACAATGAAACACGTGTGAGTATAATGAAGCACGTGTGAGTACACTGAAGCACGTGTGAGTACAATGAAGCACGTGTGAGTACAATGAAGCACGTGTGAGTACACTGAAGCACGTGTGAGTATAACGAAGCACGTGTGAGTATAATGGAGCACGTGTGAGTATAATGATGCGCGTGTGAGTATAACGAAGCACGTGTGAGTATAATGAAGCACGTGTGAGTATAATGAAGCACGTGGGAGTATAATGAAGCACGTGAGAGTATAACGAAGCACGTGTGAGTATAATGGAGCACGTATGAGTATAATGAAGCACGTGGGTGTATAATGGAGAACGTGTGAGTATAATGAAGCAAGTGTGAGTATAATGAAGCACGTGGTATTTTTATCACTCAATGATCATTATCACACAATGATCATTATCACTCAATGATTCTTTAATGATTTCGTCCCCCAACTGGTACTCTGTGACCTGCTTTCTGCTTCCACAAAACACTTATCATATATTAGTAACCATTCTAGTAGTCATTTGTTGGACCACTCGTTCATTTCTTCAAGTCATCTTGTAGTCTCTTCTTGCTTTCCTCTGTCTTAATCTTTCTCAATAATTTGGTATCGTAAACAAACATTGAGGGAAATGAATGAATTCCCTCTGAAGGATCATTGCATTTAGCTGTTATATCAGAAACGTATATCAGAAACAGGATATGTCCGAGTTCAAGACACTGTAACTCCTCTTGTGACATCTCGCCCTTCTCATATCTCACAGTAACTCCATGTTCTCTGTTACTTAATTGCTTCCTGATTTACTGGAGAACTTTACCTGTTACTCCTGCCTGCAGCTCCAGCTTGTTACATCCAGGCCTCATTGGGTACTTTGTCAAAGGTTCTCTGACAATCTTGAAATATGCAGTCTGCCCCCACTCTCTCTTGTCTATTTTTTGTCGTTTGGTCTTTGAAAGTCATTAAAGCAGCGAGGCAAGATTTATCTTTGCTGAACCTGTGTTGGTATGCGTTACAAAGTCACTTCTTTTTTTTTTTTGAGATATATACAAGAGTTGTTACATTCTTGTACAGCCACTAGTACGCGTAGCGTTTCGGGCAAGTCCTTAATCCTATGGTCCCTGGAATACGATCCCCTGCCGCGAAGAATCGTTTTTTCATCCAAGTACACATTTTACTGTTGCGTTAAACAGAGGCTACAGTTAAGGAATTGCGCCCAGTAAATCCTCCCCGGCCAGGATACGAACCCGTGACATAGCGCTCGCGGAACGCCAGGCGAGTGTCTTACCACTACACCACGGAGACTTCTTTCCAAACGTGGTATTAGCTTTCTGTTCACGATCTTCTACCTCACCTTGTATGGTATTCAGTTTAGGAACACTGTCCTGTAGTAAGGTGTGGCCTGCTTGTCACCCTTATTTTATATTGGGACAACGGTAGCTGTTTTCCAGCTGTCTGGTAGGTTTCCTGCTTTTAGTGACCTATTATTCAAATTCTTCAAAAGCTACTTGGTTTACCACACTTTCTTACTTATCTCTGAGATTTATGTTTGCTCTATTTTGAAGACTTCCTCACGTGATTGTGGTGTAATTGTGAAGTGGTAATGGTGTGATTGTGTTGTGGAAATGGGGTGTTTGTGGTGTGCTAATAATGTGGTTATGTGGTGGTAATAATGTGGTTGTGTGGTCCAGGAGTGTGGCGTCGCGTGGAGGCCGTGGCAGGGAGGGAGGCTGTGCTGCCGTGCGAGGTGGGGCCCCTCGACTCCTCTGACATGGTCTTCGTGGTCCTGTGGTACACCAACGGGGAGAAGGAACCCATATACAGGTGAGTCTCGGACCTTTCACGCCTCCTGTGTCAACGGGTCATTTGATATTAAAATAAATCTCCTATGTCTTCACGTGTAAGTGATTTGTTTTCCAATATTTTCATTAATATAACAATTAATAAATAATATGTATGTAATACAATACTGAGAAGCAGTTATAATGAAGGAAAACGTAGTATTAATTATTCATAACTCATTCATTTTTTAAAAATCAATGAAACTAAAAATGAGAGATAGATGCTGTAGTTGCTATAAACTGCAAAAATTTATCAACTAGAAAGAAAACATCTTTACTAGGCTTCACGATAGCCTTTAGTGTGGGAGGACCAATATCGATTTTCTCGACTTGCAACTTGGTCCAAAACCTCGAGGAAAGACTTGCAATGAACCCCCAAGGATTTCCTGGGTCATCGGAGCTGCTCACTTCCCCTCATCCTTGGTGGAATGACGAATGTTGCGAGACGTCTGATGGCGGACGTTGGGGCAACATTTCTCCCACCACCATAATAACATACAGTCTTAACATTCCGGTGATACTGACAACTCATCATTTCAATAGTTCTGACATCTCGGGTCTCCGTGGCTTAAAGGTGGGAGAGGGGGGGGAGGGGGTTGTTAATTCTCGACTCACAATCGGGATCCCTGGGGTTCGAATTCCCGGTGCGATACTGATGGTTAGACTCGTCACCTAGTAGTAAATAGGTATCCGGGTGTTAATCAGCCCTTGTGGGGGTCGCAGTGTGGAACGAGGCAGTTGGTTGATCTTGAAAGGGACCTCGATTTCCGCCTAAGATGCACGCACAGGCTGTCGGCCCAAGAGAAAATAAATAAGTTATAATCTCAGCATTTCAGTAATACATGACTTCAGCATTGTTTACATCATATCATCATAACACTCACTGTTTAAGCCATACCAGCTTTTTCTCAGTCGTCACCAGCTTTATCTCAAGCTTCACCAGCTGTATTTCAAGCATCACCAGCTTTGTCTTAAACTTTACCAGCTTTATCTCAAGCTTCACCAGCTTTATCTCAACCTTCACTAGCTTTATCTCAAGCTTCACCAGCTTTAACTCAAGCTTCACCAGCTTTATCTTAAGCTTCACCAGCTTTTCCTCAAGCTTCACCAGCTTAAAGTCAAGCTTCACCAGCTTTATCTCAACCTTCACCAGCTTTATCTCAAGCTTCACCAGCTTTAACTCAAGCTTCACCAGCTTTATCTCAACCTTCACCAGCTTTATCTCAAGCTTCACCAGCTGTATTTCAAGCATCACCAGCTTTGTCTTAAACTTTACCAGCTTTATCTCAAGCTTCACCAGCATAAAGTCAAGCTTCACCAGCTTTATCTCAACCTTCACCAGCTTTATCTCAAGCTTCACCAGCTTTAACTCAAGCTTCACCAGCTTTTTCTCAGTCATCACCAGCTTTATCTCAAGCTTCACCAGCTTTATCTCAACCTTCACTAGCTTTATCTCAAGCTTCACCAGCTTTAACTCAAGCTTCACCAGCTTTATCTTAAGCTTCACCAGCTTTTCCTCAAGCTTCACCAGCTTAAAGTCAAGCTTCACCAGCTTTATCTCAACCTTCACCAGCTTTATCTCAAGCTTCACCAGCTTTAACTCAAGCTTCACCAGCTTTATCTCAACCTTCACCAGCTTTATCTCAACCTTCACCAGCTTTATCTCAAGCTTTACCAGCTTTATCTCAACCTTCACCAGCTTTATCTCAAGCTTCACCAGCTTTATCGCAAGCTTCACCAGCTTTATCTCAACCTTCACCAGCTTTATCGCAAGCTTTACCAGCTTTATCTCAAGCTTCACCAGCTTTATCTCAACCTTCACCAGCTTTATCTCAAGCTTCACCAGCTTAAAGTCAAGCTTCACCAGCTTTATCTCAACCTACCTTCACCAGCTTTATCTCAACA